TCCCAGCACTCGGGAGGCAGAGGCAGGCGGATCTCTGTGAGTTTAAGGCCAGCCTGGGCTACAGAGTGAGTTCCAGGAAAGGCACAAAGCTACACAGAGAAACCCTGTCTCGAAAAACCAAAAAAAAAAAAAACAAAGAAGGGGTTATGAGAAGATGTTGACTCGGCATGTTAGATAGCTGTGAGATAGAATGAGCATTCTTGATCCAAAACTCAGAACTTCTTAAGCATGGATGACATGGGCAAAATTCCAAACCTGACCTCATAAAACCAGTCACTGTCAAAATCTGGAGGCCAGGAAGATGGCCCAGTCAGTGAAGTGCTCACTGCAGAAGCCCGAGGACCTGAGTTTGGTCTGTAGCACCTGACAGGAAAAGCAGCCGTGTTGGCAGGTGCTTACAATGCCAGTGCAGCCAAGGCAGAGGCAGGGGACCCCTGGGTTTGCTGGCCAGCTCATCTAGCCAAATTGACGAGCTCCAGGTTTGATAAGAGATCCTGTCTCAGAAATGAAATGGAGAGTGACTGAGGAAGACCTGAAATCCACCTCTGGCCTCCATACGCATGCATGCACATGCACACACACCACACAAACATACACACAAAAAGGTGAAAGTATTTCCCTCAGGTAGATAGGTCCTATCCCCAAAATACAAGTATAGTCAAGTACCCCAAAATCCCAAATCTGAAGTACCTCCAGTCTCAAACATTTCACCAAAAGCAAAAAAGTGCACACAACCTGTCTGAATCAGCTGCTTGTTTCATATGATTGTGTACCTCAGACCAAAAAGGGCTGTACCCTAAGACCAAGTGGAGACTTTCCACCCTAAGGGCTTTGAACTCACTTAAGTATAACCTCTTCAGTCACTTTTGTTTTGATGGTAAGATAAGGAATTATTAGCAGGATTGTGTTGTGTGCAGCCAGGGTGGGAAGGTTGATCAATAGCAAGTAAGAAACAGTCTGATTTGGGGATAATTTGAAGACTTGTCTACTGTGCTTCAATTATACTCTTAGTATTTCCTAATGAAGGTATCTTTCTTTGTATAGGTTACTCACTATAAACAATACCCACCCAACACAAGCAAAGTTTATTCCTACTTTGAATGCCGTGAAAAGAAGACAGAAAACTCCAAAGTAAGGAAGGTGAAATACGAGGAAACAGTATTTTATGGGTTGCAGTACATTCTTAATAAGTACTTAAAAGGTATTGCTTTTCCCAGTACATTTAAAACATTGCTTTTATGTGGCTTCATATCTTTTCTGTATTGTTATGTTCTGTTATTTGAAGTAACCTTTCAGTAGTCTAATTTTGATATTTAATTATATTTGATCATCACTTTAAGAGTTGTTTTGGAAAGTTTTGTTTCGTTTTGTTTTGTCTTAGACAAGACTTCACTTTGTAGCCTAGGCTGGCCTTAAACTAGGTGAGTTGCTCAGGCTGTCCTCAAATTCACGGCAGTCTCCTGCCTCAGCCTCCCAAGTGTTTACACTTCTGTGTTAGATGTTTTCAGTTAGAGATAGGTTTTCTGAAACTGATGAATTGCCAGAGAAAGTTTAGGACAGTCAGTAATACTCAGAGGCCATTCTTGTTTACTGATAGACCTAGCCATTTACTCAGAGCAAGAGATTTATTATTGGTCCTGAAACTCATTTTGAATTATGGTAGATTTAACTAGAATATTTTTATATTGCTTTAGACATATCTTACAGTTTCATTTTCAAAACTGTTTACAATAGTGGGTTTAGTTCTAAGATGAATTTTAAAACAGGAAAACCCTCCAAAGTAATTTTTAGGGGTGGGTTGGTTGTTTGTTGAGGCCGTTTAAATAGTATATTTTGTAATGGAGTTTCTAGGCAGGGAATCAGTTCCAAAGACCTTACACATCTGGACATTTTTTAAACAAAAATAATTTTTAATTTTATGCAAATGATAGTTATTTTAGGATCAGATAGGTTATACATGCTGCATTACTGAAAACCCAGCCAGGTGTAAAGGTCCTACAGTGTGGAAAGAGACTGCACAGGGTATTTTAAATAATATTTAAATAATATTAATTAATATTGGTTTCTTAAGATAGATCGTACGTTTTTT